AAAAGGTAACAATGCTGGAAGCTAAGTCCTTACATTTTTTTTTGATTTAGTGGTCGAATTGAGAACATTTTACCACACGAATTCATTTGATTTATTAAGAACCACCGGAAGATTCGATTGAATTTATACGAACAATCTCGAAATTATTACAAATTTGTCTACTTACTTACAGTTACCTATATTTTACTTCTATTTTATTTTGGTTATTCAACTAAAAAATATGAAATAACTATTTGATTGGGGAAAATTTGCTGAGGGTAGAGTCTAATGAGTAATTGTATATTTAAACTTATTGTAAAAAAGATTTTTGAACCTGTAATTTATTTGAATTAGGTACTTTAACCCATTTCGCCTCTTACCCTGTATGAACGAACTATGCGTGCGAAAATTAGGAAAGTTAACTCTCTTTACAAATGCATTGCAGTTTCTCTTCAATTATTGGAATTAGTTACAGGTATATTATAGAAAATGAAATCAGAACAAAAGTAAAGGAAATTGCATCCCATTGAGTGTTGCTTGTGTTAATTTATCGTTTAAACGTGCCCAATTATAACTGCCATACCTATACGTTCTATTCCAGTTCCTTTCGTAACAGATTGAAGAGTTTTTAATGCTACGATTACGACGTTTCCATCACCATCAAGTACCACAGTAATTGTGACAACATTGTCAATTTAAAAGTATAACACTTATTTCATCTGGCTAGACCTTGTAAACCATACTCTGAGGGAAGTGAAAGCTACTTGTTAAGAAACGATTTCGTTTGGTTATATACTAATGTTAATACATTTTCAAGTAAATGCATAAGTATGTGCCTTGGTACATTGAAAAATTTGTGAACGTAATCTTTAATTGCTAACGGAATTTGAAACTATATCTGTCATCCTTGGAAGTGAGGTAACTTAAATAATGTAGGCAAATGCAAATGTACAATTCTAAACAAACAAATCAAAATGTGATCCACGGCTGTATTCTTTTTTGTTAATTAAATGGAAGGCAGTTATTTATATATACCTACGCTGAAAGTAACAGGCATAAGTGAAGAATTTTCATTTTGAAAAGTTAAAATTATTAAAAGGAGAAAGTCAATTATTTTGAAGATTTTTTTAGTGGAGAAAACAAAGACACGTGTTAATAGAATTATGATTAGTAAATATTGAACAAATAGTTATTATAGTAACCAAGGTTGTTTAGTACTTGTGGGAAGGTTTTTACCATTTAAACTTCTGACTCATTAAGAAATGTGCTAATGAACTACACACAAGAGCTCATTACAATGCAAAATGTGTCGTAGGTATACCTATATTGAAATAAGGCAAAATGTGAAGAACGAGTAGTATGATACATTAGTACGCGCCCATTTTTTTATTAATCAAGTATGAATAGGTAGATATGTAATTGGTATAAAGCACAAAGGTGGTATATGGGTACTTATTGTAGGTGCATGTAAGACTCAAGGTTTGTGTAAATGTTAATAAAGTAGTAGGTAAGAACCTTTTTACCACCAAAAGGTACCTATATTCGTTTATCATTTTTTCTTGAAGTGATTTATTTATTTAATTTATGTATTGTCCCTTTGACCCAATTACAGAGTGACCCACATAATGCTTTTTAGAGATGGTCTTAAGTTGTTATCAAGGACGGATTAATAGAAATATGTGGGTGGGGGCGGAATTCTGGAACGGGACGGGAAATACGAGGGGGGTCCGGGGTGACATGTGTAGATTTCGATTTTTACTACATGTGATGTGTTTTTCTTTACTTGAAGAATCTATGGTTAATATTTCAAAGAAATATCTTCACAACTGTCAACCTAAAAATGCTCCACCTCTGATGGTGTCGCATTTTTATTAGTTGATAGTTTTCCTCGTCTATTTGCTAGGCAACAGACTTTCATTACATAAACAACCCAAATTTACTCGGTAAAATACAAACCTCTTGTGCAATTATAAGTGATACAATGACTTTTCTGAAAATCTTCGTTTCTTTTCTGTAAGATAAAAATTGAGTAAGATATGACCGTTTATAGCTTGCATGTAGTAGCAACTCGTTCAGGCTCATTCAGCTCAAACCCTTTCAAAAATAAGAACTGAAAACTTAATATATATGATCTTTCAGCTGTTAAAAGACCTATTAGAGAGTTATGGCTAAAAAACCAATCACGTATTTTTGCAGGAATTGTATATTTTAATTTTTTTTCGAATGTTTTGCAAGACGTTGTTCTTATAAGGATTAAAACTTAACGATAAAAATTCAAACGGTAAAGAAATCTTACTGCTGAATAACATTTTACAACATTATATATTTTAATTAATTAATATATAATTAATTTTAAATCATAATTTATCTCTGAGAGTGTATATTGATGAATATTATTTATTTTAAGGAAGATTTCGATTACAATCTTGAATCTGCCATTTTATAATTTGCAAACATTCCTAAGAAAATAGTAAACAACAGGTTGCACACGGAATGTTTGAAGTAGAGGGTAGGTAGAACTTGAATCCAAAATTTAATGCAAATCGGTGATACACATTGCTAAATAACATTTTGAAGATTCGGGGAGAATTTTTCTCCGCATCCTTAAGTGAACTTAAGCCCTGGCCTAGGTTTTTGGGTATGACCTTTCCGCTTTTGTTGTTTTTCAAAAATTTTTATTTATACAAATAAATATACCCGAGGTAAACGTTGTTTGCTCGATCCTTTTAGGTCTTCTACCAAACAAAAACAAATATTTGTGCCCTCAGTTTGTTTGGGAATAATAGTTTATTCCCGTCATCTACCAATTTTTTTGATTCCTTGCATGATATGTCGCAAAATATGAATTCGAGGGGAATGTGGAATGATCGGAATGGATGTATAATAAATTTTCGGTATACAGGGTGGTGACTTGCGTCACGCATCATAGGGATTTCAATGTAAAATTCATAACATGCGATTATTGGCTCCCCAAATTACTTTAGAGCAAACATGTATTAAGGTTTTTTGTAGAAAAAAATTTTTTACGTCAATAAACCGTATTAGTTTTCAATTTTGTACATAATAAAGACGGAAAATTGGAAAAATAAAACCCGCATCTTTTTCAATAATCTGCGATGCCATGGAATTTTCTAAAACAAAAAGATGTCCAGTTATCAATTAGCAGCAGTTCGAAATGGATTTTATGATCGACTTGGTTACTGTCTTGCAGTTAATGCATTAATGAATTCGAGCATTTATTGTAAATTGTTATATTAGGAAACCGTTTTTAGTAATTTGGTCTTTCTTTATGTTGAATTCGCTGTTCTAAATATAATACTTTTTGATAGAATTTGATTTGTTTTATAGCACATTCCATGGCATGATGGATATTGGCGTAGTTTTTGTATTAGAAAATTCCATGGCATCACAGACTATTGAAAAAGATGCGGGTTTTATTTTTCCAATTTTTTGTCTTCATTATGTAAAAAATTGGAAACTAACGCGGTTGATTGACGTAAAAAATTGTTGTCTATAAAAAACCTTAATACATTTTTGCTCTAAAATAATTTGGGGAGCCAATAATGGCATGTTATGAATTTTACATTGAAATCCCTATGATGCGCGACGCAAGTCACCACCCTGTATACGAATTTGATCAATGGGAAACATTTTCTGTCCACTATTTTGGGTGCAAAATTTCAATAAATCTAAATATATAGGAATAGGTACCTGCGAATTCTGCGCAATACCACCGAGTGTTCGGATCTCGGAAATAAATTGGAATAGTTAGAATAGAATAAAACAATATTAAATTTGGGTAGTAAGGTGCCTAATAAATAGATAATGTATATTACCTACCTATGTTGCAATGCACACTAATTTTTTGAATATTTTAACACAACTTTGACAAACAAGTCGAAATTTTCACGTTATTTACGGGAAATCTGATACCTGTGTTATAACTCATAATTTTATTGCCATAATTTCAAAATCTCTACTAAATATTCTCGGGAAATCAATCTCAATGGGGTGGCGCATCTAGTCACCTCCGAGGAGCACATTGGCAGGTACATATTAATGGAAAATACAAGGGAAATCCTACATCATAAGTTTATTCCGAAATTCGAAATAAACGAAAATAAAACTTAGGCAATAGACCAATTTCCATACTATATGAAATACAAGCATGAAATGACGAATTTATTAAAGCTTGTCATCTCAAAGCATAGTAAGTGGTACTGTGCAGAAATTTATTTTAATCAATTCCAAAACGTATCCGTAAATAAATTGTTTGGTTTAGTAATATTCTTACAGGTGGATTATATAAATTCGTTTTTATGACGTTTCTAGTCAAATTTTACGGGATTTCCACAATTTGCATAGGTACTAAAACTTCTAGAAAACAAATTTGTTCAGTACATATAGCATCTATGTACTGCCTATAACCTTTGAATATAAAATATATTTTATATTCAGAGCTATAGCTTATGTGGAAGCTAGAAGGAGTTGTGTAGATTAATTTTAGAGGCATTAATAAAAATTCAAGAGTAATAGCTTTGAATTCAAAGGTAATAGGTAAACTTTCATCAGTGTCGTGAATCAATATACCTAATTAATTCACTGGTTAAGAGCGGCGTTCTAGATTTTCAGGACAAGAATACTTAAATATTCCAATACAAATTCTTTGCCATCTACTTCTTGGTTATAGAATATAAACGTAGAAACTTATAAGGTGGTTGCGTAATTGAAATTCTTTGACAGCGAACAAAACGTTATAAACAATATAGCTGGAGGACTTCGAAATATTTAAATTGAGAACGTGATGTAATTTGAATGTGTGCGTAATTTTAATGTTTCTTACTGTTTCGTGTAAACAGCTCTAATTCAAAATGGTTTTGAGGAGTAGGTGTAACCTGAATATAGGCACCCTAAACTCATGGGACACATTTTTGTACAATGTAGGTAGCATAAATTGAAGTGGTAAACATATTACAATTAGCCCTTCGGACTGACAACAGTTAAATTATAAAGAAACCTACCAGCAGATAAACGGCCAAAAATCCCGCTGCGATAGCTAAACTACAACAAAAACAGGACTCCAAAAGGGCCATTTTCACTTTTTGTAACTACATTTTAATCAAAACTTAAAACGCCACTCGTTTTACTTATTTGGTATTGTAGCACCTTATTTTCCTAATTATGAATTTTTTGAAAAAATATGTTGGAATTTACGTAACGTTGGGAACTTGCACGGCGCGCGCGGTTTTTCCTTTTTTAAATCTGGAGTTAAACTGAAAGCGCGAGTGTGTCAAACTGATTATTAAACATATTGTTCACACGATTTTGCGCTTTTAGAATACTTTCTCTGGTAACTTACCTGCACCTTTGAGTGTAAAATTATTTGATTAGTCTGCAGATGGAACTTCCTGTATAGTAGGCAACTTATATAACGAAGCATTGGCAATCTTGCTTCTCAATCGAACTATGAAGGAAATCGTAGTTTAAAAATTTTTTAATTCTCTACGTAACTACCGTCTACAGTGCTACATTATTACATTTAGTACAGAGTTGCTCCAGTTGTTCCATTTCATAAAAAAATCTAAATCTTTGCGCTTCAAAAAACGACACTAGTGCGCTTTTCAAGCAAAGGTATTTTTTTTAGATATTTGAACAAAAAGAAGTCCCACGTTGCTAAATTTGGGCTGTCGAGACAAGGTACATTTGTTGCCAGCATATTTGTATACTTATTGTTCTTGCAAGTACCTAGGCAATGAAAGCAAGCTCGCTCGGCTAAATAAATGGCTCGTCCATAAAGATCCAGTTTATGTACTTGATATATAAATAGCTATTATAGGGGACAAATAATACACAAAATTATAGTAAGTACATTATTATTTTGCATACATTTTTTTAGGTTGCGCTTTCGTTCCACCCCTGTTAACTCTTTTTCTACTTTTTCCTTTTCTTCGACAGTAGTTAAACTGTTGCTTTCCCCACACACTCTAAAATATTTTGTTTGTTTAGTAGTAAGAAGTTGGTCGAAATTACTGTGGCAGCTCTGATAACAAAGAAAAACTTTGATTGTTGGCTTTTGACTCCAGAATTCTCTATATTTTCCTATATAAAATTGAAGCGTGTTTAATATAAGTTACAAAGCCGAAGTGATAAATAGTGAAATTCGCGCTTGTGTTATAAACGTTTACATGTTACCACTAATGGGAACTAAGAAAAGTTTTTAACACACTTTAACATTTCAGAACCAAATTTTAAGAGCAACAATGTAAGACGGATTACCCTCTAACAGAACGTAACGTGTCCATTCTATCTACAAGAGATAGAGAACCAAAAAATACCGGTTCTATGGCACTAATATAATAACTCCTGAGCAAAAGCCATATAAGTCATTGTAAAGCTTCTGACAATTCTGAATTTAATACGTGAACGTGAAACATAGCAAAAGGTTAGGTTCTAGGTTCTACCACGATACACTTACACACGGTATGCTCATTATTTTTCTCAAACGCGTTTTCTACTGCGCATTACGTCACCTGCGAACGTGTGGCGCCAAAATTCAAATGTTTACGCACGGAAAAATCCAGTACAGATGTCACGGATGTCACGCGTGACAGTTTGCACCTTTTCAGTTGTATTTACGAGTTTTATAGCGTTAATTTGTTGATAGCTAAGCATTAATGTGTTGATAGCTAAGTAATCATTAGTGAAAATTCCAAAATGCCAGGTTGTGTGTGGAAATAAAATAGGTACTTTCGATTTCCGAAAATTGAAGACTTTTCTCTAAAATGGATTGTTGCAAGTCGTCGTAAGGACAAAATTACCTTGAAAAATGGTGTTGCATTATTATTAAGTGGTGTGTTTAAGTCTTTCCATTGCTGTTTAATCCTATATCCTGTATTTGTTATGAACATTTTGAAGCCAGCCGTTTTGAAGCACCGCTAAGGGAACGACTTTTTAATTAGACCTACTTTTAAAAACAGCGGATGTTTGAAACCTGATGCTTTACCTACCTTAAAACTACCGCGTAATAATGAAAATCAAAATAAAAGGGACACGGAGGAGAGATTAGATCTTTTGATAACGCATTAATTATATAATTTTTACTGAAACAGCCGCATTTCATGTTTAGGATCAATTTTGGTTAGAGTTTATTTCACACGATCACGAAATCCCAGAAATAACTTACGCGAGGATCTCTACACAAATCATCAAATCAGTATGATTTGTCAACTAAGCTTGTGATTTGTCGATCTAAGCATCGTAATTTTGATCTATATTCTGTGGTTTTGTTCGCACGTGACGTCACGCTAGATGCGCAAGAGCATACCGTTGTAAGTGTATCGTGGTTTTGAGTTATGCTGTCATATGTGTAGGTGATTATAGAACACCCTGTACATTTAGAGTGAAGTTAGTTACGTTATGAATTAAGCCTAAGGTTAGGATTGGATAGTCGGTTTTGGTTTGTCTTTTATGACTATGTTTTATGTAACTTATGTAAAAGAGTGGAAATATATATATAATCAGCAATAAAGACGACTACATATGCATTAAATTCGCGTTGGAACAAGTCAAATATACACTGGAGTCCAGCTATTGGCCCACTTACGGGTCTCGTGTAAACGCGGCATTAGAGCTCTCCAATCTTCCTTTCATAACGAGTATTCCGAACCAGAAAGGCTCCTAGTTTTACGTTCGATAGTCCCTTGTGAAAAATTGTGGCGTAAGTGCTAAGTGCACAAAACGTATTGGAAAAGGATATAGAAGGGGGGAGGGGCGGGGTATCGTACACGCAGATTAAGTGTTAATTGTATGGAAATGAACATTGTATCTTTTCCTGAAACTATTATAATGCCGTCGTATACTGGAGTGTATTACACACGCTTCCCAACACGTTTAGTACCCTTAGCACTTATGTATACAGGGCCACTGATAAGTTGGAAACGGTGGATTATTGGGGAAAATATACAAGGTATTAAAAAAGTTATATAAAATATTTGAGGTTCTTTAATGTCTACTAGGCAGTAGTAATTTTAATTATACAGGATCGCCGATCGGTCATAAAGACATATATATCTATATATATATATATATGTGTGTATATATATATATATATAACCACTGTTCTTCGCGAAACAATTTGTAAACTGCCCCGGTTACCGACCGACGATGATCCACAATATCATAGTAGGCCCAATCAGTATCCATGTAAACTTCTAATATCGGGTGAGAGGTGTTCGGGGATGCACCCATTGCCCTTCGCCTGGAACTGGCTGAAATAATTTGCATCAAATCCGGCCGGGACGTAAGCAATACAGCCTACTAGTTCGCGATAAGCGTGTGCGGTCCTCTTGGATTCTTCTCCTCTCTCCAGCTTGAGTCGGTTCTCAATGTGTGTAGCGATCGAATGACAGTCCTTCATCCGAAAACGAGAAAGAAGGCTTTCTAGATGACGGCGTTGACTGACACCCATAACATTCTTCGGCTTGTGTTCTTGTATTGATCTGATTGGATGGATGAAGTTATAGTTGATTGGTGGAAAAGGTTTGAGTTCAATCTATCAAAGCAAAATAGTTGGAAATTGGTTGTTCTGAGGTAGGTAACCGTCATTCGCGTTGAGTCAAACACCTGTGAACTAGCGCAGGGTAGTTTTATAGTAGATCTAAAATTTAAATTGCGAGTGAATCAAATGACATACGAAGAAAAATTAAACGTGCAAATATTAAATTTGTGTGACCTTAAATAAAGAATAATTAGAAGCGCAAAATTACATTTTATCATCTTAATATTCGAGGAGAATGGACTTGCGAATTTCATCTTGTGATCCTTCGTACGTCTGTATGTCATTGACATTTCCGTAACTTGAACGCGCCTGTCATTGTACGAGACCTAGGAATGTTTGTAGATTTTCCTTTTCAAGAGTTTAGTCAAGCCATTGGATTAATCGGTACTTCGAGATTGAGCGAATAAGGGTCAACGAGTTTACTGACTGTATAATTAAAGTATTATACAGAGTGAGCAACAAAGATTGAAGCGTGCCGCTTCAGCTAAATTGGCAATGTGCCGCTCATAGCATATGCTGATTTGATACAAGATACGAAATACGAATAGACGCACGTCACTGTGACAGCGCAGAACGTCATTTTCGTATACAACTTCATACAAAGAAGGTAGTTTTGATATTAATAGGAACAAGCGGTGATGACGCACGCTTCAATCATTGTTGTAAAATTGTACAAAATGTATTGTATTCAAAACAGTAACTACAAAGCTGCTTAAAGGTTTTTTTTTTAGTGTAATTGTCATATTCCATAATATTTTATGTTAATATTTGTTTTTCAAATATTTCCGTATGTGTTAAATTTGCATCTAAGTAATTAGTTAACTACGAGCCACTAATTAATTGTCACATTAAAGTGTTATTGTCCCAGGGACGCATTTCGCGAAAGCACGGGCCAAAATTATTTAGAAATGACCAAAGATACTGAGGAGAGAGTACATTTTCGAAATTTGCTTTCTTTTTTATGAAATCAGCGCAATGAAAGTACCTGAGCATGTAATAATTCATCGGGAACTACGCCTTTTGGGGATCTTGGGATTTATTAATAGAAAATCCGCCCCTGAATAATAACTCATGTAATGCGCGGAGATTTAATGTGGAAAATTAGCCTTCTACTACGTTTTGCGACCCTGATTTTTACTTGGATAACGAAGGTGTGATATTTCTAACTGACATAGACTAACCATGATATGGTTCGCTGTTCTTCTCGCGTTGGTTAGCATTTCAGAGTGTAACTCGCAGCGTAAGTACTTCTCCCTTGTCCAAAACGATGTTTTCCAATCTAACATTTTAGGTCCCGCCAACTGTCCGTCGAAAAAATGCGACGGACTGATGCAAATGAAGGACGCCATGGTGAACCTTCCGTTCGGATGTCTTCCTTCCGAGAATTTGAGAAGCTTGTGGCGGTGCATGTGTGAAACTCGAAAGGATCAGTGTTTCGCCGACGTCTACAATAACTGCTCTAAGATAGTGGAGGCTTCCGGGCAAGGATGCAAAACGTGTGACAGAGAGGTGTTACTAGCAAGCGTCGATTCATTTCGTGCGGTGGACAACAGGTGCTGTTGTCCTGTATTCCACGGCACCTTGAATGGCTGTTTGTGCTCGGTGATACTTGATGATTGTCCTGGGCCTCAATTTACCGATTGCTATCAACAAGCAGCAGCTGCAGCGATCGCTGCCCAATCATCTTAAGCATATGCTGTCAGCTCTTAAATGTATAATAAATTCGCCCTTATTATAGTGCAGTTATTTACTTATTTATTTGTTTGTTTGTTTGTTTTGTTTGTGTGTTTTGTTTTGTTTTGTTAGTTTTGTTTTGTTTTATTTTGTTAGTTTTGATTGTTTGTTTGTTTCTTTATTTGTTTATTTATTTATTTATTTATTTATTTATTTATTTATTTATTGTCCCTCTCTTGTTTTGGGCCCTCAACAGGCTTTTGCCTAATTACAGAGTGGCCCGCATAATGCTTTTTAAAGATGCCCCTGCAGAATGTCTTAAGTTGTTCTATACTACTCCGGTATTTACCTTACGAATTAAGAAAACTGGAGGAAAACCTAACCCGGGGTAGCCGGCCGAACGCTCGAAACAGATCTAAGGAAATTCCCACTCTGCCACAGATGAAAAATTCTTACCTCAGCCCAGGTTCGAACACCTGACCTCCGGCTATGTAGCCCAACGTTCTATCACTGACCTACATAGACGGTATGTATTCAATCATTTCATTTTAAACTTGTATTTATTGATCTGCAGACTAACCAGAGCACCAAGTTTTGATTTTCAGATTTAGAAAAGACAGAAAAGGCCAAACTTCCGCAAGGTAATTTAATTCGAATTTGTTTGGGAGCTAGCTAGGTTGCATAATTTGTATTAGAAAAGATTGCGGTAGAAAGACAATTTTATTTAATACGAATGAGGGTTTTAAACCACGGTATTATAAGTACCCGTTACAAACTTCGCGCGTAATTGCCCACGGCTCATTTTCGAAACGACCCATCTTAGTTCTTTCAATTTACGCCCAACTAACCATTTGTATCAGTTCAACCAATAGCATTCATTTCTTTTAGCCAATGATATCTTCAGAAACGCAAAATGCCAGCTACATCGACGGAAAATTTCCACAAACTCTGCGGTTCTCATGTCCCATAGTTAGCTCGACAGTGACTGCAAAATAAATAAAATCCGCTTGTCATGCGAGCTAATAAAAAAATTAAAAAAATTTAAATGCGTTAGCGGGCTCCCGTTGCAATTTGTCATATAGCTTCGCAATTGCTTAATTAGAAATAACTGTCATATCAATTTAGTCAAAGTAAAAATTGTGTAAACATGATTTCGGTCTAAACACAAAAAATAATGGGACATTGTGTATATGACAATATTTCAAATTAGTCAGTGTAAATCTGGCGGATTAATTACGAATAAGCACAAAGTTGGTTTATTGTATTTGAATTTGTTGTCTCGGCGTTTATAATTGTTTGTCATTGCGTAATAGTTTATTTAAATTGTATAGCTTTTCAAATTTATTCAATTTAGTTAAGATCCTTTATGTTGGGACACATCTGGTCGTGTGCGATAAGAGTTTGTATCCGACCAATGTTCTTATCGCTGTTAAATGAAGTGTTACGAAGAATTGCGCGTTATATCGGCGTAAGTTTGCGTTATGAATTCTAATTTAAAAAACCACCACCAACGGTACGGACGCCAGGTTGAATTTGGATTTTACGAGGGCTTTGGAAACCATGTCAAATCCGTAGAGGGTTGTCAATAACCGTAGTCCAGTTTTGACTTCTTCGGAAAGACATTTATTTTCGACCAACAGCTTGACCACCTTTTTCTTTCCCTGCCAGAATAGGGTCGAAGTAGTGTCACATGCACTTATGGCGTGGAGAAATATGAGTGGCCTTCTGATGTTGTCTGCCAGTTGAAACTGTTACGAAAACACGTTTCATTCATTATTAGAGAAAAATAATTTAAGATTTTTTATTTTTAATTATTGAGCGCCTGAGTGCGGGGTAATATGTCCAAACAAGCTTTGTAAGCTTTTATATCTTGCAGAGATTATATTTCAAGGTATTGTATCACGTGATTCGGAATAAATCGTTTTCATTGCCAATCAATTAATGGTGTGTTTATTCGAACCCTTTGTGCGATCGAGATAGAGCCTTCATGTCAGATTTTTCTATTCGTGTCCAAGATTTATTTCAAGAGTTAATCAAAAATTGTGTAGGTACCTTTGAAATTTTGGCAAAGTTGATTGGGGCCACCGACTCTGACTTTCTCAAATTGATTTATGACTGAGGAGAGAGGATAAAATTCCAAGTTTCAAGTTTGATTTGTTTTGAGCTAGCTGAACAAGTGTTTTGTGGGTGGGTAGTGACCGCACGGCATTACCCACAACAATATATTCATACTTTCCCTGTAGCACAAACGTAAAACGAAATACTGATTATTTTGTTCTACGATCTGACGACAAGTCTCTTGAGAGCTCTTTCCTTCAGTGATCAAGATTAAATGTATATATAATGAGGAGTACCTCTTTTTGTAGCTGGTTTTGTTCGTGCATTTCCATAATGTCCTTAGCGAAAGGGCTGTTTTCCTATAGTAAACAAGCTTAAAACCAAACGAAAGTTATCAACAAATGAGGTGACCAGGAAAGTTTCGTATCGTTTAATCTATTTTGTTTTGTTGTTGTCATTTTACTACGTCGTACATACAACCTATATTGAGAAACCCCCTTTTCCACATGCTTTCTTTGAGTCACATTCCTATAAGTAGTTGTTTGTTAGCACTTATCAGAACTTATCTTGTAAAGTAACCTTTTTTGTCAAGTAATTAGTAGTTAATTAATTTAAATAACTTATCTAGCATAATGTACATAATTCTGTAAGAGGTTATCAACCATTCTTTTCTTTGAGCAAAAATGCTTTAGGAAAATTGGAACTTCCTTTCTTTCTGAAATTTTCCAAGGAATTTTTACGTTACACGCTCACTAGTTCAGTCAATATATAGCCAAAAAAAGAGCGTTACCTTGCAAAAGGTCAGAGAGTTTTGAAATTTGACACAACCTAGAGTTTATAGCGTCCTAGTTTGCAAACTCGGCGTCGCGACGCCATCTCGAAAATATGACGACCAAAATCATAAACGATTGCCCTTAGCGGAAAAATAGATGTTATACAATTTATATATAAAAACGCCCTATTGTAAACTAAGTAGATCTAAAAATAACAGTTGAATGGTAGACTTATACAATATCGCTCCTGATTGTATTAAACCTTACAATTTTTTTTAATTTAAAAGAGTCGTTAAGGCGCACTTATTAAGTCATTCTTTTTATAACGTTACTGAATAAATAAATAAATAAATAAATACAACATACGCCTTGGAGAACTATTCAATAATTTTAATGATATTTATTTATTTCATTGTTTGTTTACTTTAATTTTGTGTACCTGTGTAATAGTATTCCCTTTAGTCATTTTTACCTTTTATCTCTGTTTTGTCTCTTTTTAACTAAAATTTTAAATTCTTTATAATATCGATTGTAACAGCTACCAGCCAGATAGAGTCCTTGCGGGACTCAATCATTTCCCCCAGGGGACTCCAATGGACTTCAGTGAGTGTGAAAAAGTACTAGTCTTCCTTAAAAACATTTCCCTCTATAACCTAATTTAATGTCATTATAACTTTTCAAAGCCACTCTCCACATGCCCCTTTCCCTCTTTCCCTCTTTTAATGATATACCGATTTTCCCCGTGTCAATAATGTCTCCCTATTGAGGTCAACTTGTGTAAGTTACTAATGGAAATGTAAATGCTGTATTAAGATATTAATGTAATTTCGAGGTCGCTAAAGACCTAGATGTCATAAAGCGACCATAAATAAATTAATAAATAAAAAAATCTATATTATTCTGTTTTAGCCACATGGTCTGACTAGCTTTTATTTATTTGAAATTTTAAACTGTTTTTATTATTCTTTTTATATATATGCATTGTACTAATTTAATATTTACTATATTTTCTGACGTGTCAAAACCTATTTATGGTATACGGACAAATGAAGATTGATTGGTACCACACATTTAATTGGTATATGCATCTAGAATTTTACTGAGTGTATTGTTGACATAACACATTTAGTCTAAATCGAAAGTTTACACGTACATACCTTAAAAAAATACTGTAAGGAACTAGGTAAGAAAGCACCATTAATTGACGGAAGTTCCGACGATTGTTTATTAGTTGTTTTTGCTAAATGCAATCTTAGGTGATTCAATGCTATATAGACATAGAACTGAAACAATTATAACAATATCTCGTGTGAGAGCCGAGATATCCTGGTGTAAATCTCTAAAAACATAAATTTTTATTAAGGCACTTTTGAGTGGATTTTTGACTATCAATAATAATGTAAAGCAGCACACAAATATTAAACTTTCAACGCCGGAAACAATTATCGACGATCCTCAAATAATTGCCAACATGTTCAATGAAAACTTCGTTAGTGCTCCTCTTGACATACTTCGAACCGTTCTAAGCACAAGCTCAAATTCAAACAACGAATTTGAGCTGAATTTCGAAAAATCTAGTATTTGTGGCAGTATATGTGCATTTCCTTTCAGTGAAAATGAACTCTTAGTCTGTTTAAATTCCTTAAAAAACAAAAGTTCTTCGGGACCTGATCATATACCTACCTTTTTACTCCGGAATAGTTTACCAATTTTATTGAAACCCATTATTCATTTAGTTAATATGTCCTTTTCTCAAGGTGTTTTCCCAAAAGAACTAAAAACATCGCTGGTTCATCCTATTCATAAAAAAAGTAGCACTCAGGACTGGGCTAACTGTAGACCAATATCTGTCAGTTCAGCTTTGTCCAAAATTTTTGAATACGCTATGTTGGAAAGACTAAACTGTCACCTTTTTAAACAAAACATTATAAGCAGTAAACAGCACGGTTTGCGTAGTGGAAAATCGACATTAACTGCAATTAACTCATTTGTTAATGACAGCATACACCATCTTGACAAAAGGCACAGTACTCTTGCTATATTTGTGATCTCAGCAGAGCCTTCGATACCGTCGATCACTCATTATTATTGCACAAATTAAACTTTTATGGTATTCGGGGTGTGGTTGCAAATTGGTTCTCGTCTTATCTATCCCACAGATGCCAACAGGTAGAGATTAAGTTCAAAAATGGAGAAACTATATCTAAATTCTTATCGTCGCCGTTGTTTGTTAATGTAGGAGTACCTCA